TCTGTGTTCTCCCTTTGTAGAAACATGGATTCTGATTGATGGAGTGAGTGAAACAATGTGATTTATACAAGTAACCCTAAAATAACACTTCCCCCGGCTCTGCAGTGCGAAGCAAAGAGGAGCTATAAGGAGCCTGCCAAGTGAAACCAAAACAACTCCTATGAATTTATAACAGCTAAAACTGTTTCCACTTTAAATTTTTTTGGCATCAAGATATATTTAGGAGTAATGGTTGAGTATATTGAGGGGAGAGGAACTAGGTTTGTTGCTTATCTTGATGTATTTAATGTTTATTTGTTATCTTTTAATTACCTGCAGTGATATATGCATTTCTAATATACACACAAATATAATAGATGTCTAAATGTAGATAGTTTTTTAAGCAAATATACAGTAGCTGTCTTAAGTAAACTATTTTAAAATTGCAATTTTATTTTTCTCTATATTTACTGTGGTCTTGCTGCAGCGTCAGGCAAAAAAATATATCAAATCAATTAAATGCTTATTATTAATATTATTCTTATTTCTAATGACAAACTTACACATCTGTTAGACCAGGAATTTTTGCTGTTCATTCTGTGATCAAATACTTTTTTATGAAAAGTTCAAAATCATCCATTTTTAACATTACAAGTGTGATTTTCTGGACGTTTTCTTTTCTTTATCTTGCTGTTGTAGCCTATGATAAAAATTACAGAAGTGTTCACTGGTTAACAATGGGAAGCTCTGTGGTGTATGAAACACTTGGTCTAAAATGTGTCTACTGTTTGCAGTTTTCAGGGACAGGTTTTACATATTTGCCTCCATGTTTTCTGGTTCTCAAACAGAGTAATTTATTTCAGCTGAGAGGCAAATGTCTCACAGTGCTCTGATAAGGTTATCTAAGAGGAATCCCTCTAGCTCATCAAAAACAGATGGAAAAACACAGAGCGGTAGACACTTTTTAAAAGTGCAGCAATGCACAGAATTATAATATTTCCTGCTCTTCCAACCTAACATTTGAATAAGGGTGCATATTTTTAAAAGAAAACATCAATAATTAAAGGCATATTTAACTTAGCTTACACAGCCCATTAAATATAAAAGTATAGAAGTGTTGTAGTTTTATCATTTGGAAACCTAAAAAAAAAAATTATGTCTTGTCAGTACATAAATTTGCAAAAGAAGATCTTTACAGAGCTGTATTTTAAAGTTAGTGACAACAGACGATTTTAGGTTACTACCATACACAAGGTAAAAAAAAACAAACTCATAAGAGTCCAAGATAACAGTCAGCTTTTCAAGAAATGTATTTTTAGATAACACCTGTAAAATTTGTAAGGAGCGTTTAAAGTAGTTAATTGTTCAAGCAAAGGTCTTGTGAACAGAAATGCAATTTGATTTTCTGCAAAACACATTTGGTTAGTGAAAACAATAGTATTCGTGTATCAGGAGCACTTTCTGTTTTGACTTCAGATATTCACCTCATCATATGACATTTCTTATAGAGTGCATATAAAACCTAAAACAAAGAAGTAAAATAAATACATTTAAGATGTGTCAATATCCTCATTTAAATTGCAATAGTTAGACTCACATTTAAAATATTTTCAGGTCTCTATACCTGACTCAGATATCTTTACCGTGATACCATGTGACCGCTTCAGGAAGTGGTTCAGACTGCGCAAGAACTTCGAGAGGCATTTAAACAGCCTCATTACTCAGTCAAGATGTGGGAGTTTGTATGAGAGTTGCTGTTAGTTGGATAGAGTTTGGATATATTCTAAGAATAGATCGGTTGGAAAAACAACCAATCAAGTTAGTTAAAACTATTTTTGTTAGATCCAACAAGGCAATGATGAAAATCTGAGCAAGCCACTGGTTAAAGTAGTCACATTAGTGTTAAGTAGTATTGCTTTTTGATGAGCAGTTACCATTGCTTGTAGCGTCAGCTGTAAGAGGTTGTTAGTTCGAGCAAGACCTTTGAAAGTTGCGATAATACTTAACAAGTATTTTGGCTATTGTGACTAATTTATATTGGTTTCTCCTTGTACAAATATAGACTGTGTAAGAACACTGCCAAATTATTTTGGCTGGTTTAGCCAAAAGATGGATTGAAAACTTAACTTCCAACCTGATTAAAACAAAAACTGTTGAAAAACTATCATGTTTTAATAAAAACGACAAACACTTTGAATTTTGCTCATAATTGCCCAATTAGCACAAACAATTTCACTTTCTGCTTGAGCTTATTTCACTAAAATGGCACAAAAACAGTGAACCTTAAATTATTGTTCTCTTCTAAGACATTTTACACTAAAAAAAATATATACAAAATACAAAAAAATTATTATACACACCAATCATTAACAATTTCAAAGGAACTTTACTGGAAAAAAAAACAAAACAATTGCAATGACACATTCAGTTTCCAGACATCAACCCAATAAAAAACTTCTGCAAGGAGTTAAAAATTTGTGTTGTCCGGACGGATCTTCATGGAGTAATGGGACAAAAATCAGCTACAGAGTGTGTAGACCTGTTAAACAATGTAGTCTCTGCCATGACAACAAAGGTTATGCCACAAAGTATTGTGTTGAACTTTTTTTATTGACAATATAGTTATTTTCTACCAGAATTTCCAAATAAATCCTTTAAAAATCCTACATTTTGATATCCTAGTGTATTTTTCTTTCTCATTTTTTCATTCACTTTTTTTGGCCCCATTGTAAGGGCAAATTGCTAATATGCTGTTAGCAGTCAAAGAGTTAGAGGTAATAATGGTAATAATGATTTAACATTAATAATTGCAAAAATGATTAATGTAATTTATATTGGACTTTACATATATTGGACTTAAGTATCTCAAGTGCAAAAAAAAATAAAAAAAAAATAAAATATATACATATATATATATATACAGTGTTGGGCAAGCTACTTGTCCATTGTAGTGAGCTAAGCTATCAGTTACTCAACAATAAATTAAGCTTCACTACACCAAAGCTACCACCTAAAGAATTATAGCAAGCTAAGTTACACTAATGTGTTAAAAGTAGCTTAACTACATCAGAAGCTACTTAACGTTGTACCAACCTAATGTCAATTCAAAATGAGTCTGATACACTGGTTAAAATATTTATTAAAGATCAGCCAATGGCATAACACAGTGTAAACATTGCTTTATGATCAGCATATTAAAACAAAAACTAAAGTAATTACTAGTAGACAAACTAGTAAACAATCTGCTGTTATTAGAACCAAATTAAAGGTCCTGTGTAGTGTTCTACATATGGAGACATGGCTATGAGTTTGCATTCAATGGACATCTCTAGGGAAAACAAAACCCTACAAAAGACCTCAATTAAACAGTTGATTCAAGTAACAAACAAAACTGTTTACAAAAGAAGGTGAAAAAATAAAGAAGCTAATTAAGAGATACATATATATATATGACTCACCATATAATTTAATTTCTACCTACATATTTATTCATTGTATTTTTGGAGGCAATTAATTGAATGCTTATTTATTTATTTATTGAGCATTTATTTATTTATTTATTTTATATACGGTAGAGCTGTTCCTCCATAAAAAATGTTATCTGTGCACAGCCTAAAAACAGATTTATGTAAACATCCTGTCAGGTAAACTAGGCCATGAAAATACAATATCGAAGTTTCATTACTGCTCTCTAATTAGAGTATCTTAGTGGCACATAGATATGGGAGAATTATCCTGCCATAATGCAAGAGCACATAACTTCAATTAGAGAAAAGAATTTCATCTTCTTGCACTCAAAACTTATAATGCTCACACTCAAAACATGCGCTCTCTCTCAAATATTTTCTCTTCTCTCAAAAATCTTTGTTTCTTCTCTCAGATTTAAACAGATATTTTCTATATTATCACAGATATTTTTTCCTCTCGCTTGCCTCCATCTCTTCGCGCACAAACCGCGCACTGCACGGGCCTCAGTTACGCTCGCAAACCCATAGGCTCTGCTTGCGGATTTGTTTTGCTCTCTCAGACTGCAGTTGGATCGTTGCCTAGCAACCTTTCCAGCCAATAGAACGACAGCCTCGGAAAGGGTGCGCTTGTTTAACCCTACTGAGTGTGCCTGTGCTACTACGCCACTTATAAAGCGTCAGCTGTAACTGCTATTTACAGTAGTTTTGTGGCTGATTGTTGTTTAGAAATAGAAAACCTGGTTTCATTTCTTAGTTTTGCCCTGGATTTTGTAGCGTTTGTGGACGCTACGTCGCTACTTGATCAAAACAATAACGTCGCTACAGGAAAGTTACTTGATAAATAAAGCAGCGACGCTACGGTCAAGCTACTTGAAAATGTAGTTAAACTAATAGCTTCGCTACATGTAGCGGCGCTACTGCCCATCACTGTATATATATATATATATATATACACAAAAATAAAAATAACAAATGTTATTTCTGAAAGATCAATCATTGCTTTGCAGATCAATCAAGATCAATCATAGATCAATCATCGCTTTGCAGTGGTTTTATACATGCTGACTTCCTGAGCATCAGACCTGTAATGTGTTACTGAAACAATATTGGAACTTTTCTTTAATAATTAGAAATGTTATCATTCTTTTGTGTTCTTTTAAAGGCTGACTTAATCTAAAACTCTTTGCTTAGGCTTAATAACACAGGTTATTAGCAACAATATTCCAAACTTTTAACACAATTTTCCACACTAAAAATATTATTGAAAGTAAATAATGTCCCTTAGAAATGTAATATTCTGAGGACAAATGGATTGGTTAGGTGACCTAATGCTTTTTTTTAAACAAGTTATCAGAAATACCTTTATGCCATTTATCTGGTAGACATGTTCTTGGGCTTGCCTTCAGTTGAATAATTTCAAAGTTCTAATCTTTATGCTTTTGTTAAATAACCAAAGATTATTTAACATTTTTCATCAGAAAGCAGTAATTACGTAATCTCTTAAATTTTACACAAATTAGTACATTTTTAAGAATTTCCACTTGGAAGTCCTACCTTAAAACACATGAGTAAAGGCCCACATCTTGAAGGTCAGCAGGTCTGAACCAGATGGCGTCCTCCTCTTTGCTCATGCGCACACCATCAAAAGAGATTGGCTCCTCAAAGTCGCTGTGTCCGAGCCCAGAGCTGCGGTACCACATGAGGCTGAGGCCCACACTCTGTGCCTGGCTGTAGTTGGCCCGGATGTAACCATAAAACAGAGCACACTTCAGACGCACCGGCTCTCCTTGAAGCACCTGGTACTTCAGGTAATCCACTGACCAATCTGTGCAGCCGTCCACTAAAAAACAAATAGAAAACAAAAAAAATTTAATTAGTTGTAGATGCACATGATTTGGCATGAATATGAAGCACAGAACAATTGTGAACAACAACAAAAAAAGACTTCAAAAAACGTCTCCCAGTGACGTTACACAGTGTACAGTACATAAGTTGTATTTTCCTTAAAGGTATTTTGCGAATTTTTGAAAAGAACCGCCCTCTTCATGCACAACCCTGTGCCTGCTCCTGAGACGGAACACATATTAAACGCATGCGAGAATATACACAAGCCCATTTCTCCTCGTGCACGCTCTGTTTAAAAGTTGCTGTTTGCATCACTCAAACGGGCTTAGCTTCCAAAAGAAGAATTGCAATTTTTCGACTATGTTAGATTCACCACCGGTAAGTCAAAATGTGGAGGGACACGTATGACGGCCTTATGTGAACATATCTCAAGAATGATTGACAATTAGGAGGACCACTTATTATGATGATCCACCTGGAAAAAGAACATCCTACACTATACCTTTAACAAAACATGGCAGTTATAAGAACTAGTAATTGTCTGTTTTTCATTCAATTTTCCCTGCCAAAAAATATTTATAGAGATCAAACCACAAACAAAGCTCTGATAAAGTGACTCATTTATTGACCAGGGAAGTTTTTCATGGTCAGTTACAACCTTTTTATGTTTGTTGCATTTTCTAGTAATGGTATTAATCAAAGTGACTTGTCCATAAAAGATTTGAGACTTAACTTAAGCTTGGACAAAACTACTTATGAATGAAGCTCATGGTAGCCCCTGGTTGTTTAGCTGGTCAAATTAAAAACAGTTCTCCCTTTCTCAAACACTCTTTTTTGGCTGGACAATAATTCAATATATATATATATATATATATATATATATATATATATATATATATATATATATATATATATATATATATATATATATATATATATATATATATATATATTGCGATTTAATTTTATTCAGTGATGGCAATGTGACATTTGAAAACATTTACGATATACGCTGCAGTCTGTGGTTACAGTGTATGTCAGTGACTGATGCTCGGGCAGCGGGTAATTCAAGCCAAAAGAGCCGCAGCACATTGGCTAGGTGAGCGATGACATACACCATAGACAAGAAGCCCATGCTCTGCAACTATAGGCAGTGCAGCTTGTGCTTCAACACAATACATTTTAACTACAATTGGGCACCTAGGATGACAAAACGTCCCTGTTTGATTTACTTGTAGCCAGCAGCCGTCCTCACACATGGCTCAGACTTTAGCATCTGACTGTAGCATGTAGAATGTTCAAAATAAATAAATAGAACACCCTACAGTAAGTAATGTTTGAGGAATTAACTGGGGAACTTAACCCCGTAGTTTCAGAGCTGTGTTTGTTTAGCTAGTTTATTATTAGGATTTGTGTCTGAATGTCAACCCTAACCCTTAAATCCCTTAGTCACTATATAGAGTGGGGACTTTAAAGTGGTAGTAAACTCAGTTAACTGGTCGTTTGGACAAATGATCACCACTTTTCACTCCTTGTTGGTCATGTAACTCTGCATCCCCACACGGTTCCTGCACTATCTTTGTTATTTGTCACTACTTTCGGGTAGCAACCACCGTAGGCGACAGCAAGACGCTGTGACAACAAATCCCATAATGCTTTGCGAGGAGAGCTCTCCTCGCATAGCATTCTGGGATAGATAACTGCTTTTTAAGATGCATTGTGGGAAATATCATGTCCACTACTTATTCATCCACTAGACATTCGGGCACATATCTATACTGGACTAACCACTATATACAGTGTTGTGCCTGAACGCGTTCATTGAACGAAAGTTCATGAACTCGTTCATATTTTGGGCGAACGTGAACTGAACGTACTGCATTACTGCCTGATGAACGTTATTGTGAACTCGTTCATTCTGGTGTCTGTGAACGGCACACTCTCTCAGTTCAACTTCGTTCAATAGGTTGCCAGATTTCTATAGAGCCCTCCAGGCGAAACCCCGGCTAAATCACACCGTAAACAGGCCTTAATATGTAGCGGGAAAAACACCCAATCTGGCAACACCAGCTACCAGGATTCAAAACTGGATATGAAGATGAAATCTGACGCACAGTTTCAGTGTTACAACTGATAAAATAATTGCTGTCTGTGGTTCTAAAGTAGGCTATGGTGTAATTGAGCAATATATGAAAAAAAAGAAGATCTATGAACTAGTTCATTTTTTGGAACTGTGAACTTAGTTCAAAATTTTGAATTATGAACTATGAACTGAACTAGTTCATTTTAAAATGTGTGAACTGAACTTTGAACTAGTTCACGTAGAAAGAGAACTTTCCCAACACTGACTATATAGTGCCCTATATAGCGGTTAAGACGGACATTCAGACACAGCCATATTTTACAGGCTTAGTGTGTTTTTCTTCTTAAATGGATCACAGTCAATCACAGAAAAATATAGGACACAATTATAAAGAAAATCATTAGGAGAAAGAAATCCTTATTTTCTCCAATGTGATCTTAGAGGAGTTACATGGACTTGGCATAATGATGTTAAGAAATTTTTACAAAATTTTGTTGTAGGCTTTTCTGCCAGCTCCTCTATCGTTTATATAGATACCTGAATTATATCGTATAAACTGGAATCAAGGAATATATCGTGATATAAGTTTTGGCCATATTGTCCAGCCCTACCGTCATCCAGGGCTTGTGGGTAAATCAAATCTAAGGCTACGTTCACAAATGAAGTGGGAGTGTTGGCCTAGTGGTTAGAGCACTCTGGGTTCCTGAGCAAAACCCTTAACCCCACAGTGCTCCCTGGGCGCCCCACAATGGCAGCCTAATGCTCCCCAAAGGGATGGGTTAAATGAAGAGGTAAGTTTCTCCAGTTTGAGATCAATAAAGTTAAATTATTAATTTCTTCTCCATTCAGCAAGTGGTAGCTTTTATTTTTATACTTCTTTCTAAATAGCCAGATAATTGCTGAAGTATTTTAAGGTTACAGTTAAATTAAAAAAGTACCCATTATTTTTTATTTCTTAATGATTAGATTTCTAAAACCTCCATATCAGTAAGTAGAAAGGATGCTAAATAGTTTAATCTTATTAAGCCATTTCATATCATGACATGATGTTATAAAGAACTCTTAACTCTATATGAACATATTCAGTGTCATATTAGGAGGACTGCAGTTGCACTGTATAATGATGTGCAAAACACACCTGCAATCTTAACTTTCGCTGTAAACTCAGTATAAGATACAGTATATTTACCTCGGCAGAGAGGCTTACACACTTACATCCACAATTCAACATGCAGGCACTGTGACACTTGGAATTTAACTGTACAATATCCTCAAAGGTGGTGACAGGCAACTTTAACTTCGGTGGAGATACAACAACTCAGAACAGTATGCAAAACAAACTCTGTGAATGGGAATTATGCCATGCAGACTCTTGAGCAAGATGTCTACTTTTGATGGTACACAGCTCAGCAATTATGTTGAGAAAGTTTCCCCAACGTGTTTGCTTAGAGGGCTGCATGTATCACAATGAAAGAAAAGTGGCTGATACAACAGAAATGAGAAAGAATTTGAAACTTTGGCTGCATCAGCATAACAAAAATATGGATAAAAAAGCTACAGTGGTTAAAAAGACTCTGGCTCTTTACATAACGGCTTAATGACCTGCTTTTTTTTTGTAAACATATCTCCTTCACATCCTAAGCAACTAGATTTTAACCCACGGCCAGCAATCACTCTCCGACTAATTACCTAGCATTTGTTTATCCAGCAGGTGTGTGTCAGAGAGTTTGTGTAACCAGAGACTAGGAGAGGGAGACAGAGGAGGCGATGCTGTGGTGAGATAAAGTAATAAGAACCCCACTGCGTGCCGTCTGTGAGTGATACAGAGCCTCACAGGGACGGCTATGCTAGTAATTAATACTGTTAATTACCAGGGAGGTATAATGTGTGTGTAAGAGTGAGTGTGTGCGTCTGTTTTCATGAGTGTGCATTCCCTACATGAATGGTTGTCTGCCTAATTATGTCAGTAATTACCATCAGCTTTGCCACAAGTGTTTGCGTGTGTGTTTGTGTGCACTTTCACACATAAGAATGTGAAAGAAACTGAAAGTAGTTTTGCATGTGTGTGGCAGTGGGTGTAGCATTATGTATGAAACTCTGTGTCATTGTCCTCATTTATATAAAAAGCAGGGCCCTGTAGATGCAAATATATATAGGTTATGTGTTCATTTTATACAGCTTTAATGTTTTTAGCTTAACCAACAGTTGAACACTATCAGCAATATTTTTTATTAGGGAAGACAAAATATTTTTGAATGTTTATTACAATAATTTCAAAAAAGAAGTGTATCAAAAAATATGACTGCAATAGGATATGAATATGTTCAGCTAATTGTACAGAATAATACATTTAACTTATTATAATAAGAAGAGAAGATCTTTGCAGGATTATTGGGAAAGTATAGAATGTGATCTCTTTTGTTTATAATTTTTAAGAGGGTTCCACAAATCTCAAACTTTTTTAAATTAAGAAAGGACGTCAGACGTAGTATAATGCAGTTTGGGTTTAGTCACCACATTATGCATTTTGGACAAGATAAAAATGGCATTCAGACAAATATGACACAAAATATTATGACTATCTCCTTGATTTAGTGCTTTATGTAAAATCATATGCAATAAAAAATATTTGATTGATCCCTAAAAGAAATTCAGTGTTGTAACTTAAATTGTTTGCCTCTATATAAACATCTTAAAATGGATACCACTATAATATTTTATTTCTTAATTGCTGTGTGTCAGGCTTGGTGGTTGTTTTTAGGAACGCAAATGAAGAGTAGAGGAGGCAGAAATAGTTCTTGCTGTTTTAATAGTGAAGTGCATGGTACAAAAAAAATACATCCAGAAATAACAGCCTGGGAACTCAGGAACCAAAATCTACAGAAGCTTGGGAGAAACATACAGCAATAAAT